CTGTTGCCAGCAGGTGGCGCTATGACTGTGGGTGAATGTCGGCATGTACATGTGTTCAGGGCGGGACTCTCATCCTACATGTACACTTTGGTCCAGATGTGAGCAAATACACTGAAGTTACAACAACTTCCTGTGTCATGGCGAAGACTTGATCTTTGACGCCACGCCATGGACACACCCATTGACGAAAACTCGCAAATAGCACAACTTTTCATCTTCAATGCCTTTAGAAGGCACAGCAGAAATTTGAGGTCGGTCGGACTAAATCCCTAGGAGGAGTTCGTTAAAGTACGAAGTGTGTAAATCATCCAAAATTTGACGTAAAATTCAAAATGGCCGACTTCCTGTTGGGTTTAGGCTATGGCTCCAAGAGACTTTTTTGTGCGTCTGGACAAGATACACTTACCACAGAAAAGCCTACTAATCAGCACTAAACCTAAACTAAACTATAACTCATTTGAAAGTCTTGTTCTTAGTCTTTCGCACCCAAGTTGGAAATCACTGCAACCAATTCTTTTTGTTATAGTGTACCGAGCACCTGGCCCGTACTCTGAATTCTTATCTGAATTTGCAGAGTTTGTGTCAACTTTAGTCCTTAAAACGGACAAAGTTATTATTGTAGGAGATTTTAATATTCATGTGGATGTTGAGAATGACAGCTTTAGTACTGCGTTTATCTCTCTGTTAGATTCCATCGGCTTCTCTCAGAGTGTTCATGAACCGACTCACTGTTTTAACCACACCCTCGACCTTGTTTTGGTGTATGGTATTGAAATTGAACATTTAGTGGTGTTCCCACAGAATCCCTCTTTATCCGACCACTGTTTGATAACTTTTGAGTTTGTATTGCTGAACTACTCGCCACTGGGCAAAAATTTCTATACAAGATGTCTGTCTGATAGTGCCATAGCTAAATTTAAGGATGCGATTCCATCAGCTCTAAATACATTATCTAGTCACAAAGTAACGGAGGACTCCTATGCTAATTTCAGTCCCTCCCAAATCGATCATCTTGTTGATAGTGCTGCAGGCTCGCTGCGAATGACACTCGACTCTGTAGCCCCTCTAAAAAAGAAAATACTAAAACAAAGACGGTTAGCTCCATGGTATAATACTGAAACTCGCAAATTAAAGCAAATATCACGGAAACTTGAGAGGAATTGGCGTTCTACCAAAGTAGAAAATTCTCGTTTAATTTGGCAAGATAGTCTTAAAACTTATAGGAAGGCCCTCCGTAATGCCAGAGCAGCCTACTACTCGTCATTAATAGAGGAAAATAGGAACAACCCCAAGTTTCTTTTCAGCACTGTAGCCAGGCTGACAGAGAGTCACAGCTCTATTGAGCCAAGTATTCCCATAGCTCTCAGTAGTTACGATTTCATGAGCTTCTTTAATGATAAAATTCTAGCTATTAGAGACAAAATTCACCAAGACCTGACCTCAATTGGCACCGACTTATCTCTTAACTCAGGAACCTTAGAAACAGCTGTAGAACCAGATACATGTTTAGACTGTTTTGCTTCCCTCAATCTTTACCAACTAACTTCAATAATTTCTTCATCTAAACCATCAACCTGCCTCTTAGACCCCATCCCGACTAGGCTGCTTAAAGATGTTCTACCCTTAGTCAGCACCTCTATACTAGATATGATCAATCTATCTTTATCAACAGGCTATGTACCACAGTACTTTAAAGTAGCTGTAATTAAACCTCTTCTGAAAAAGCCCAAACTTGATCCGGATGTTTTAGCCAACTATAGACCTATATCTAACCTTCCATTTCTCTCTAAGGTTCTGGAGAAAGCAGTTGCTAAACAGCTGTGTGACTTTCTACAGAGCAATAGTTTATTTGAGGATTTTCAGTCAGGATTTAGAGCTCATCATAGCACAGAGACAGCACTGGTGAAAATTACTAATGACCTCCTTATTGCATCAGACAAAGGACTTGTCTCTGTACTGGTTTTATTAGATCTTAGTGCTGCATTTGATTGACCATCAGATCCTATTGCAGAGACTGGAATATTTCATTGGCATTAAAGGAACCGCTCTAAGCTGGTTAAAGTCTTATTTATCAGATCGATTTCAGTTTGTACATGTTAACGATGAGTCCTCCATGCACGCCAAAGTTACTCATGGAGTTCCTCAAGGATCTGTCCTTGGACCAATCCTCTTCACTTTATATATGCTTCCTTTAGGCAATATTATCAGGAAACATTCCATAAGCTTTCATTGTTATGCAGATGATACTCAGTTATATCTATCGATCAAGCCAGATGAAACTCATCAGTTAGCTAAACTTCAAATGTGCCTTCAGGATGTTAAAACCTGGATGACCTGTAATTTTCTCATGTTAAACTCAGATAAAACTGAAGTTATTACTCTGGGGCCTAAGCACCTCCGTGACGCATTATCTAAAGATATAGTTTCCCTGGATGGCATCGCCTTGGCCTCCAGCACCACTGTGAGGAATCTTGGAGTTATCTTTGATCAGGACATGTCGTTTAAGTCTCACATTAAGCAAATTTCAAGGACCGCCTTTTTTCACCTACGTAATATTGCGAAAATCAGGAACATCCTGTCTAAAAATGATGCAGAAAAACTAGTCCATGCATTTGTTACTTCTAGGCTGGATTACTGCAATTCCTTATTATCAGGCTGCTCGAAAAAGTCCATTAAGACTCTTCAGCTGATCCAGAATGCTGCAGCACGTGTTCTGACAGGAACCAGGAAAAGAGATCACATTTCTCCTGTTTTAGCTTCTTTGCATTGGCTTCCAGTAAAATCCAGAATAGAATTTAAAATCATTCTTCTTACCTACAAAGCTCTTAATGGTCAGGCACCATCTTATCTTAAAGAGCTCATAGTACCTTACTACCCCACCAGAGCACTGCGCTCCCAGAATGCAGGGTTACTTGTGTTTCCTAGAGTCTCCAAAAGTAGACTAGGAGCCAGAGCGTTCAGCTATCAAGCTCCTCTCCTGTGGAACCAGGTTCCAGTTTGGGTTCAGGAGGCAGACACCATCTCCACATTTAAGAGTAGGCTTAAGACTTTCCTCTTTGATAAAGCTTATAGTTAGGGCTGGCTCAGGTGAGTCCTGAACCATCCCTTAGTTATGCTGCTATAGGCCTAGACTGCCGGGGGATTTCCCATGATGCACTGAGCTCCTTTCTCCTCTACTTTCTCTCCCTCTGTATGCAACCTCATCCCATTATTGCATGTTACTAACACAACTTCTCCCCTTTCTGGTAGTCTTGTGCTTTCTCGTCTCTCTCCTCCTCTCTCCTATCACTTCCTGCAGGTTTTCTGGCTCTGGAGCTGTGGAGTCTGGATCTGTGGTTGCGGGTCACCTGCTGCCCCCGTGTTCCTGCTCGACATCCTCTGCTGCAACGACTATTGTTGATAGTCTTATTGTTATTATTGTTATTATAATCATTAACATTACGATTGTTACCATTAACACTATTATAAATATCTGTACCATTTTTCATTTAGTCTATAGCAACATCACCTTCACTGTCTGTACCTCTGTGTGTATATTGTGTAGGCTGCCTCCCTCCCCTCTCTCTCTCCTTACATCTCTCTCTCCTTACATCTCTCTCTCTCTCTCTCTCTCTATCTCTCTCTCTCTCCCCTTCACCCCCAGCCGGTCGAGGCAGATGGCCGCCCACCCTGAGCCATGGTTCTGCTCGAGGTTTCTGCCTCTTAAAAGGAAGTTTTTCCTTGCCTCTGTCGCCTAGTGCTTGCTCTTGGTGGGAACTGTTGGGCTTCTGTAAATAGCATCATAGAGTACGGTCTAGACCTGCTCTTTTATGAAAAGCGCTGTGAGATAACTGTTGCTGTGATTTGGCGCTATATAAATAAAATTGAATTGAATTGAATTATTCATTAACTGACGCTTATCCAAAGCGACTTACAATTGCTATTTACTGTTGCTGCTAGGGGTTAAGTCTCATTGCTTCACAATGATCTCTCACACCAAAGGCATGTGTCTTGTCCATCTCTAGCCATATAAGGTTAGCTAAGTAAACTAAGGGGGGGGGGGGCACCATTTCCCAAGCTTTGTCTGAGGGGGTCCCACAGTCTCAGACTTTGAAAACCCCTGTGCCCGAGCATAGCTGTGACTCTTAGTCTTGTTCTTATACTGAATTACAGTATATGTTGTACACTGTGTTGTCTACTTTATTAGGTACACCCGTACCGCCTGATTTAACCCAGTAAGCTTTTCTACTGTAAAGTCTACTTTTATCCTGCCTATAATGTTAATTTTTGTTGACATTGTCATAGAGAAGTTAATTAATTTATATGTTTAAGCACTGAGGCCATAGTTAGTAGCCTTGTTGAACTAGACTGCATTATATTTAAATATCCTGCCCCCCTATCAGGTATGCAAATAGAAAGGACAAAAACATTTGAAACACCTCTCAAAATAATGTAGTCCAATTTAACTATTATGAGCTTTGTAAAAGTAGAATTAATGGCAGAGATATTGTATTGGACGTCTTTGCATTGTACAGCCTGGACCTGCACCTAATAAAGTGGTCACTGAGTTGTATGTAAAATACTTTGCAGAATACGTCATGGTCAATTTTGTAGCTTTGGTGGAGCTGAATCAGCTGATGAAATTCATGTTATATGACTGAAAGCTCCAGAATACCTACTAAAAAGATTTTGATGAGGGATTGTTTTGTTTGTCAGCTGCTGCTTCCAAGGATAAGAATAGTATAAATGTAAAGTATATATGATTTTTTTAATATATGAAAAGTACTATACACTGCACACATAGTTGTATACTGTATATGAATCAATACATTGCCAATATTTTACTAAAATGAAGGTAAATATATATATATTAATAACGTATTTTAATCTGTTGCATAAAGAATAGGCAAATGCTTGTGATTTGATACCCTGCCACCAAGTACATCTTTATTACACATTAAAAAATTACAATATACTTGCATATTGAAAAGTATGTTTTATATATTTTGCACATAACTCACCATCTCTCCTTTCGATCCTTTTTCTCCCTTATCACCCTAAAAAAATTAACACAAGCATCTATTAGTGTTATGAAAACAAGCAAGTGTAAAACTAGCAGGGATGGACTGGTAATCTGGCAAATGCCTGGTGGGCCAACGCACCTATGCGGCCAATATAACTTAAATTGTTTATTTATATGACCACTGACCGGCCCATGAAGCACAGCCTACAGCTGATTGGTTCATTTTCTATACTGACACTGGGCTGGCTCAATCACATCTCTTACTAGCCCCCACTCCCTCCCCCTCTGCACTCTGTTTCTTGTGCTGCGGGCCAAAACTATAAAGAAATTTTGAGACGGATGCTGCCAAATGTGCCAAAATAACCAACATGTTTGCTACCGGGGCTGCAGTAGCTTCAACATCAGCTGCAATACCTGACATTGTGCATCATTGTGCGATGCTATAATGACGACGATGATGGATTACTTCAATTAAGGACAATGATTCGCGTTACAGAAGTAAAACAACTACAGTAATGTTGCTTTTTTTGCTATTATAACGTTACAATTTCAGTAACTCGTGTTACAACACATTTTAACCCAAAATTAAGTGGTGTTTTGTTTTTTTAATAATTCACCAACACCATCATCACCAACATTTGGGCACCCCAAAACAAATCCATGAGTAAAAGAGTAACGGTATTTCCTGTGCAAGTAGTTTCAGGTTCCTGGGACTCAGCATCACAGTGAACCTGACATGGTCATCTCACATTTCCATGCTGGTGAAGAAAGCTCAGAAACAACTATTTTTGAGCAAGCTTAAGAAGGCCAAATTCCCGTGCCAAGTTCTTGTCAGCTTTTTCAGAGGAGCAATAGAAAGCATCCTGACTGGAAACATCACTAACTGGCATGGGATGTGCATGGCCCAGGACCGGAGGGTTCTGCAGTGGGTAGTTAAAAGTGCTCAGAAGATCATTGGTACCCATCTCCCAAGCATCAGTGATATTGGTGAGGTGAGGTGTCTACGCAGAGCCCAAGGAATACTAAAGGACAGTACCCACCCAGCCACAGCCTGTTCACCCTGCTACCTTCTGGGAAGACATATAGTTTCAATTGTCCCACCACCAGACAGCAGAGTAGCTTTTTCTCACAAGCTATCAGGCTTAAACTCAAATTCATCCTCAGCACTGCTCCAGTGATGATAGTTTATTTTTGTTTACCATTTTTCATAATTGCTTCTGTATTATGTATTATAGTAGTATATTATCTGCTATGTAGCAGAAGGGAGTTACAAACCTCAATTTCATTATATAACCTGACAATAAATGTACCTACCAATCTATCTATCTAACTAGTAATCTATAATGTATTACATTTTGGAAGTAACTTGCCCAACACTGATCCTAATACTATCATAAAGTGAGACTATCACCTACTGCTGGTGATCACTCAGTCAGTCCCAATCAAATTGATAAATTTGCCACTGCATAAGATAAAGTTACTAAGATAACTGCAATAATTACCACCAGGGTGTCAGTAAAGGAGTGTGAATGAGTACACTGATCCACTTGCACTGGCACACTTAATCACAGCATTTACTACTCTGCTTTATAGTGGTTTGGGGGAAATTACAGTAGGCAGACATGTTTAAGAGGACTGAAAGGATGGTGTATTGGTGAGGGGTAACGGTTAGGGTTATGATTGTGGAGTGCCACCTGGGACAAAAATTCCTACCGGCAGTCCCGGGAACCCGTCGTGACCTGGTATCCCTGGAGGTCCTCTTGGTCCCTCTGCTCCTTTGTCTCCATGGCTACCTGGGAAACCTGACTTACCCTGGAAATCATAATACTCATATACTCAGTACTAGAGTGGTAAAAATACATAATAATAATAATAAATAATAATAATAATAATAAAGTATAGTTTCATACAAATTAAATTGATTTAAACTAGTAATATACCTTCATTAACAATAACAACAGCTATATTTGTGTGTAAACATTTCTAAGAAAGCTAATAATTGCTGTAATTTAGAGAAATCATTTAGAGAAACTAAACGGTGAGATGACACCAAGCCATTCAGACTCTTTAATACTTACGGGTAGACCTGCAATACCAGGTGGACCCTGGAAGACAGAACACAGGAAAACATGAAGCAGAGCATCTACTGGAAAGACAAGGTCAGGGAGCTTGCATATGTGTTCTTGGGTACCTGTGGTCCAGGTGGGCCTCTGAGACCAGGAAGGCCATTGTTAACATCATATTCATCTAGGTTACCCTGTCAGGAGATAAGTAGAGAGTTTGAAATGGAACAAACACTTCTCCAGAAACATACATATCATCCAGCCATCCAGAGGCTGAAACTTCATTTGGAAATGTGCATTTGTTTGGATGCAATCACACCTACAAAGGTGACATTACTGAAGTGTAATGAACTCCAAAATAATAGATTCTGTGATGACATCTGTGTACTTTGAGCCAAGAATGATGTACTTATCTTACATTTCTATCCATAGCAAAGGAAGGGTAGCATTTTTTTAAAGATTAGTACATGACATCTGTACTGACTTACTTTTTACATTACATACATTTACATTAATTACAGTAGAACCAGATTCTGGTCTTTGGGCTGATTGGATAGATGATAAGACTAAAAACTAACAGTGTGTTAGTGCGTCTTGTGTCTTTATTGGTGAAGTCAAGAGCATGATGAACAGCACCTGTATCTGTTTTGTACTCAAACCAGTTACTGTAATAATTAGCCTTCTTTTAACCATAAGCTTTACATTTTGGTGTTACTTCCTACAGCTTTTTGTTTTAATCCTGGAAAATGACTAGAATACTCATTTAATTAGTGCCATTAGGTCAAATATCATTGCTATCACTTGTCCACACAAACTTTAACAAATCGAAATGACTAAATGCTCAAGATTTTGAAGCAACCTCTGTGCCTGCACATGAATATGTTTTAGCTCTACTCACAATGCCACGGTATGATAGCCCAGGTTGCCCAGGGGGTCCTGGGGGTCCAACTGGTCCCATGGGACCTGGAAGCCCTGCGAGCCCAATCTGTCCTGGTGGACCTGGCCTTCCTGTATCACCCTGAGCTCCCTGAGGTGAGAAGGAAAAACAAAAATCAGCTGTGTCTTTGCTGAACTACTAAACAAGGACAGTTAAGACACTCCTTTTGATGCAACTGCAGTAAGTGGGTGATGCCAAAAAAGATGCAAGAGACATTTGCAGAGCTAGAAAGCTGGAAGTTAAGCAGATTTAAGTGATACAGTAAGATATCATACTTAGAAAAGTGAAAGTATGCTGAACATTTAATTAATCCATTCAGTAAAAGTACCATTGCAGGGTTAAGGAAATATAGATGAAGGACGAAACTGGAATTAAATATTTTCAATTATTGAAAATATGTGGCAATGGAAACTGATGAAAACGTGTGAAAGAGGATGAAAATCACCAAAGCAGAGACCCCCAGTACCTGTCACCCATTACACACCGTAGAGGATGGAGTAAAGTAAGAGAACAGGCCAGTCAAAAAGTCTTCCGTGTCTTGCTAGAGGAAGGCAACAAACACGCAGAAGCTATCTGGATGCGCCGGCCATTTGTCATTTTAATTTCAGCTCAAGAACGCATCTTCATTCATGTTTGAGACATAGATTTTACTTTAAAGGATAAAAATTCAGACATCACCTTTTCTCCAGCTGGTCCTGGAAGACCAAGCTCACCGCTGTCACCCTGGAGGTGAACAATATTTAAATACAAATTACAAGGACATTGCACATGCTTTTTGGCCATGCTCGCAGCCAGTTTACCTGCGAGATTAGAAACTTTGTCCCTTAGTTATGAACTACACATGGGTCTGAGCAATTATTTTATTATATAATTTTAGTTCAATAAATAAAATCTTAAAATAATCCCCTTTATAAAATTATATACAAAGTATCCCAACATTAGCATTGTTAGCATGTCATTTTGAGCATGCTTACATTATCTTTTAGCTCAAAGCACCGATGTGCTGCATCACAGAGATTGTTCTTAGAGATATAACGTTACGATCAGAAACAGTCTGACCTTAAGGTACATTTAGCAGCTGTTGAAGACCATGTTATATGGTTGAATGCTCCAGAACAGTGGCTAATTAGATCTTCAGTTGAGAGTGTTTTGCTGTTTCTAAACTAAGATGGCGAACATCATGGTAAACATGATACCTGCTGAACATCATCATGTTAGCATTGTCATTGTGAGCATATTAGCATGCTGATGCTAATATTTAGCTCAAAGCACCACAGTGCTTAAACACAGCCTAACAAAGTTGTTAGCATGGCTGTGGACTCTTTTGTTTAACTTTTTCTCATCAGGCCATTCATGCCTGATCGTGTCTGTTTCATCAAAAATACCCAAATAAAATCAAACCATGTTTATTTGTAATCTGTGAGAATTCGGTATTCTGTTCTCACCTTGTCTCCTTTGGGTCCCGGTTTGCCTGGTGCACAAGGAGTACCAGGGGGGCCCTGAATCAGTGGAGAGGATATGCAAAACACTGTTTAGCATTAGCATTAAATCCTGCAACTTAACCTACCTGGGCAAAAAAGAATATTCTAAGTCTAAATGTTTAATGACTTCATACACAAAAATGAAAAATACCTATTATTTGAACATTTATTGACTAACTTGGTCAGTTAAACATTCTTCACAAGTTCCTATGGCCAAAAGGGACATTTTCATATTGCTTGACTTTTCCTAACAAAACTCAAATTCAGTTTCCTTTAATTAAAGAAAAAGAACACATTTTCACATCTGAGAAGCTGGAAGAGCAGCTAATCGATTATGAGACTTAATTGTTTCAGCTCTACATTGTACATTGTACAATGAAAACTGCATCAAACTACGTCACATCAGAGTCAAACAAAGTACAGATACTCACTGGTAGACCAGGGACTCCATCCTGTCCAGGTGGTCCAGGTGGTCCGAAAGCTACTGGACCATTGTCTCCCAGTACCACTGTATTCCCAGGGGGGCCAGGAGGGCCCGGGGGACCTGGAGGACCACGGGCACCCTGGGTAACAAATCACAAACCTATTATGTTGTGTTCTAAGTTCACACCCCTGCTTATCTTTAATGATTATCAACATACCCGGATATTGTCCAAGTCAGGGAATCCTGAGCCCTCCATGTCAACAAATGTCTATCAAAACATAAATTAATTTAAAAAAAACAGTTACACGTGTGTCTTGAAAAAACAGAAATACTGAAAGAAAAGGCTGTTTAAAGTGGGGACATACTGGGCGGTCACCGGTGCCAGGTCCAGGAGGTCCTGGTAGACCCGGGGGGCCTCTGGGTCCTGGTTGACCCTCTCCAACCTCACCCTGGAAATATTTAGAGATCACAAATGATCCGCTAAATAAATTATTGTATCATAAAATAATAATAATATTAAATTCTGGACTAAAACCTTTTGGCCTTTGGCGCCAGGCGTTCCCAGATTTCCTGGGAAACCTCGTGGCCCAGATGGACCCTGGGAGCAGGAACAAAATGACACTGGTATTTTTTTAATTATCTAGAAAAACCTATGACTGAATCCTGTTTTTGTAGAAACACCTTAATCTGTTCAGCAAAAACAAAGACGCTTACAGCTTTTCCATCCTCTCCTGGATCACCCTGAAAGATAAAGAGCAATCAGTGAGACATTGACCAAAAAAAAAAGAAAAAACTCTGGAAAATCAAGTTATTTTTACTACTCTGTACTCACAGGCTCCCCATCTGTTCCAGGGGGTCCTACAGCCCCATCTGACCCTGGTGGTCCTGGCGGTCCGGGAGGTCCAGACACCTGCTGCACAACAGAGCCGTCTCCAAGTCGAACCACTTCAGCTGCAGGTCCGGGAGGACCAGGGCGCCCGGGAGGCCCCTGAGCCCCACGGTCTCCTTTATTGCCGGGGTATCCGAAGCCGGAACTACCCTGGTGAGGAAGAAGGAAAGCGTGATATTCAGCTAAATATGTTCGCTACTGAAAATGCAGTCGTAACACAAACCTTTTGAAAAAGTTGTCTTTGTTGAATATATAATAATATAAATATATAATCATGCTGTCATCTTATATCAACCTATAAATCAGTGATTCCCAACTAGAGATACTTAGTACTTCTGTAGTTACCATGGGATACATGGAAAAAAATTTTCATGTATGTAAAAGATTTATTTTATTTTATTTAAAATGGTAACAAAATCCCATGAACACACTCCTAAACCTTGTGGTCTTTTATATGTGGCTCGCAGTTGTATAAACAGTATATATTTACACAAACACATACTAGCTTACGCTTTAGATCTATTAAAATAATTAAAAAGAAAAGCAGCAAATCTTCACATTTGAGAAGCTGGAACCATGAAATGTTTTGCATGAAGATGACTTAAACGATTATTAAAATAGCTGCCCACCAATTTTCTGGCACATTTTATAAGCTCTTCATGCGTTCTGTAAAAATCTTATCAAAGTAACTAAGGCTGTCAGATGAATAGAGTGGAGAAAAAAATACAATATTTCCCTTTGAGATATGGTGGAGTAGAAGTGGTGTGAAAAAAAGTACCTCAAATTTAAGTACAGTACGTTCCATCACTGAAAATGAGTAGTGTTTATTGAATTATCATTATCAAAAACTTCTTGCCTGTTATTTTTAGTTCTAATGATCAACATTGCAGATCCCTTGTAAAATTAAACCAACTAAAGAATAAACTCCTCTCAGTGAGAACATAGTTAACATACCTTTGCACCCTTTTCTCCCTGAAAAAAAGCAAAAAGACAAATATTAAGTATAAGTATTTTATGCAGTACATTTACTACACAATGCACAAAGACACTCAGAGTGATGTTCTACCTTCTGTCCTCCACCCTGAGAGGAGAAACTGGATCCAGAGCTGAAACCTGACTCTCCCTTCGGCCCTGCAATGCCGGGGTCCCCCTGTGAGCCTTTCTCTCCTTTGTCACCTTTGTCACCTTTAGCACCGCCGGGACCTGATGGGCGAGTCACATGAAATAAGTAAGCAAGTCAAGGACAACTCCATTTCAAAGCAGCTTCCTTACTGTAAAGCCACTCTTCTGCTGTGTGCTGAGCCAAGCTTCATTACATCATGCAGAGGATCATAAATCAGCTTCACTTGCAAATGCATGCTCAAAACAAACTGACTGTACAGTTTATGCTCTTAAAGCATTTAATGAACAATTCTGAAATGTCACAGTAAATATCTCCATAAGAATTTGATTGATTATTGTTGAATTCTTGCATTTATATTATATTCCTATGTTTAATAAGACGTGAGGTTTACCTGACTGCCAAGAATGTGGCTCCATTGAGTGATGAAAGTAAGAATTATTTATTTTATCGATTCACTCCTTTGTTTACAGCCAGTACCCCGATTTGTAATATTTCCTTACAATATATAGAAAAAAAATATGCATCTATGTTTGATTGCCACTTATAATAAAAAAAAAGATTTGTTGGATCCCTTTGTTTAATTGTGCATCCACCATCAGCTGTTCTGTGAGCCAGCTGTCATTTAAACATGTAAGTACAATATCAGCTGAAATAATGAAGGTCTTGGGAAAAAAACAAAGCAGGACCAAAACCAACTGTCACACAGTGAAACTGCAGCGCCAAGAGAGACAAAAATGTAGAATTTGACTGCTTGCGCTGAACCCTCATAGAGAACAGCTCATGTTGAATAACTTGGGTCAGCCACAGATTGGTGGACAAGATGTCAACCAACCTCCACCAACATGCTCACAGCCCCGCTCCAACATAATGAGAAACTAAAGCAGTTGGAGACACAGCGCTCATTCTATACTGTGATAGCATGGCCACACGTTGATTAGGACAAATTCCTAATCTTAATCTGCATTTCTGCAAGGCATTACCCAGAGACCTACCTCTTGCGCCTGGTATTCCAGGCAGGCTGTGGTCCACCAGCTGATACCTGATATCTAAAGTCGACACAGATGCAACACAAACACAACTTTACCGGCTGTGTGAGGCCTGAAGTATTGGCTTGCAGAGTAGGAAAAGTGTTGCCTCTTTAATGTCTGTCTAAAATGTTTTTGGAAGAACAAACTTCCTAGTCCTAGTTTTAGAGCAACACTAAGAGTAGGATTTTCTGTTTCTTAATCTGTTTATGCGGGTCTTTAAAGGAGATCTTAAAAGTGGATTTCCTTCTCATTATGAGCCCCTTATTCAATTCTCAAGTAACAGTATCAAAACAAAAATGCTCTAACTATCCACTTGGGGGAGTAAAAGAGTTTCAAATCAGACTAGCGTGCTGAAACCATAGACTGTATGTAAAAAGGCTGAAACCCTGCAGCAAAACTCCCCACATTTGTCCAGTCCAGACAAGCACCCTTATGCACATTTCTTGATAAAAGCACAGTGGTTCTGTAAGAGAGTCATTTGGCAGTGGCTGCTGCATGATTAGAAACTTGCATTACATTTTTTTTCTGCATTGTTTACTGTGATGAACGTCTTGGCAGCCACACATCAAAGATTCGCAGTCGTAACTGATTCTACTGAGCTTTTACCTGTTTCTTCTAGCCTGGTTCCTTTGGAGGTTATCAGAGGGGGTTCGGGTACTGGACGGAAGGAGGCAGGTGTGGTCTGGAAATAGAACAGAATATAATTCAATAGTTTAAAACATGCTCTTATTTTAAAATAAAGGCAATATAATAAAGCAAAATGAGTAGAAACCATTTCAACCAACCTTGAAACCATGATCAGCATTCATACAGTATAATTGGCTGAGTGCTGCTGATCATGGGCTTACAGTTATGAGGCAGGTGCAGTGTGTGAAGCCTCCCAGCATGCACTGAGGCAATAGATTTATGGACATAAGTCCCATGTTATGTGTGCTCCTGCATTATTAGGAAGGATTACAGCAACTGTTTCAGTGGTCATACAGGCACCAGGCTATTGTTCATAGACTGATGTGCTGTTAAGAATCCAAATGATTGTTTAGCCTGTGTCACAGATTAAAAATATCCTAAACTACATGTCGGGATCACACAAAAGGAGGTTAGACTTAAACAGGAAAATAAGTCACAAAATGTATGAAACCTTTCTAATTTAAACCTGAATTAAGGAGCTGTGGGTCGCCATCGCTTTGATGTCAGCTGCTCTGAGCTGTCCACTGTCCTGCTGTAAAATACTAACTGATATATTCATTCATGTACTTTCATATCAAAAAACTGCCAGGATTCATATGACAGAAGTCTTAAAATTCAGTTGGCGGTGCAGAAATGAAAAGACAAACTGATCACGACAAACACACTGACCTTCACAGTGTGTCCTGTCTGTCTCCTGTCACCTTCACCGCTGCCAAAGTCCCCGGAGGCCTGCGAGACAGAGAAAGATGTTAACACAAAAGCATTCAGATGCTTTGACTGGAATTTTAGAAAACAAACACTCACAGTGTCAGAGTCGTCCTCGTCATCACACAGACGCTCAGCTGCCCGAGGGTTTCCCACCACTCTCAGCTCTGCAATCTCACCCTAAAAACACACAAACAAACAACTTTAATTTTACCGTGATGTCCAGGCTCATTGTTTGCAGTCACTCATGACTTTGGCTTCCTCTTAAATCTCCAAAGAGATGAAAAATATGAGAAATGACTCATGCAGAACAGAGTATTGTATCAGCTGCCTTTGCCACTCTGTCTTCAAATGACCTTCTTAAATCCTCCACCAGGGGCTGCATTCTGGCTCTTTAACATGATACATACACTTTTTGATTCTTGACAAGTGAGGATATTCTGCCTTAGAGTAGCCATTGAAAATTTGTTTTTTGGATCATTCTGGCAAAAAAAACAGGAGGTGCAGCTAAGATTAGGCAAGAATTCTACAAGTGTTTGGACAAATTTGGATTTTTGGACGAGAAGGGTTAAGTCTGCCCTTCCTGTTGCCTGTGAGTAGCCCAGACACAAACCTGCCATGAGGCTACAGGGAGATATTAAAGAGAGATCTGACACAACGAAGAGGTCAAGCTTCCACATACAAATATACTCACACCTGCTCTTTTAGCACACAGTGTATTATTCTGACTTTTCCTGGTCCCGTGGGTGACATTTGGAGGATTCACTGCTGTTTTTCCATTCATTCCTGTCAGCAATGTGCTGAGTAAACATCTCTTCAGCACTTGAGCATTTCCTCTGCTGGTACACTGGAGTTTATGGCTAAAAAGCTGACTTCTCTTCCAAATGCTAGTTAAAGCTAAAATAAAAGCATTAAGTTAGTTTCTTTTGTTATCTAAATCTTAAAATGAAAATGAAAAAAAAGAAAGGTACAAGCACCTTGAATTTGTATTTAAGTACAGTACGTGTACAGTACATGTAGGCCTACTCAGTTTTTATGGATGCAGCATGAGTGGAAGCCAAATCCAAATTTCTTGAACGATAGTTACATTCCACCGCTGGGTTCTACACCCTACATGTACCTTCATTTGATATTCAAACATTACCTGGAACTTGTCAGAGTCGGCTCCTCCTGCCTGACCCACAAAGATCCCCGCCCCCGGGTCGAGCTCCATGGGATCCGGCGAACGCTCAAACTTCACCACCTGTGGCTCGGAATCGCAGCCTTGGTAGAAAGTCACCTGCTCCTCAAAGACAGACAGCGAGAAGCGAGTCCAGGAGTCCACCAGGCTGGGCACTTCAAAGCTTGCTGCCTCAAACGAAGCCTCAGAGTCGGGCTCGGTGTAGAAGAACTGCACCCTCTGACGACCGGAGTGCACCGCGCTGAGCTTGACACCGATGTACATGAACTTCTGGGTACCATCGGAGATGGAGAAGAGGACGGAGGGGGAGAGAGTGGAGGGCTTGATGTGGAAGTTGACGGAGAAACTGCGAAAGAAAGGGTTGGGGACGTGGGCCAGAGCCGGCTGGCCTGACACCGCCCCAGAGGTGAAGACGTAGGCGGCCTTCCCTCTCGGCCCGACAACCCTGGAGATCTCATCCGGTGGGGGGTCTCCGATTAACTGGAGCAAAGAGACGCCGCTCTCCTCTGCAAGAGGGGAGAGATTGTGAGTCAGAAAGATGAAAGACATCATTTTTAAAAAGAAATTAAGACAAGCACTACCTTGAAGTGCAGCAATAAACACATACGTATGATTGAGTTTCCTAAACAAAATCACCAGCCACCAAAAAAACTACTTTCAATATAGGATGTATTTTGTTATTATATTCCCCATCACTAAAATGTATGTAAAAGCTGAATGGATGACTCAGAAGTAGGAACTGATAAGATGCACTTGAAGGCAGCATAGATCAGAAGACAGAGTTAGTTTGAAGCACGGAAATGATCAGCAAATCGCAAGTTCTTTGGAAAGGAAATCTTAAGAAACTGTTTATTTTTTTAGTGGTTCAGAGAAAAACATTTTGATGACAAACTACCCAGAATGTTAGGAGAAGATATGGTAGATCTCCAAAATCAGGTGGGTCGAATTATATATACAAACTTCTAAATGACAATAGGGGAACTTCCTCTTCTGCAGCAGCATGTGAATTTGTTTTAATTCAAGGAAGGTTTACTGAACATGATTTGCTCAAACCAGGTCCTATTTCCCTTCATGAATACACATTCACATCTGGTCCAGTCCAACCACAGCTCTGGCCATGTGACCACCTCACCTGTACGTTGCTCCTTTTATTTTGGAAAGAAAATATTTTTTTGCAACACATAAAGAACGTCTCGGGTTACGTATGTAACCCTTGTTCCCCGAGAAGGGGAACGAGACACTGCGTCGGTGACGACACTATGGGAACGCCTCTGGGCGTGGCAGGGCTGAAATCATGAATGAAACTACTCCAACGTTGCTAGAACGGTAGCGTGTGACGGCGTAACTGCAGGCGTATATAAGCACGCCGGCACACCGGACACATTAGCTCTTTGCTATGAAGCAAGGCACTCCAGGTGGGGCGAGGTGTGGCGGACCAACGCAATGTCTCGATCCCCTTCTCGGGGAACAAGGGTTACATACGTAACCCGAGACGTTCCCCTTCGAGGGAACTCGAAATGCGTCGGTGACGACACTATGGGAACGAGAAACCCACTTAGGCCGCGCCGACGCCCCTGCGAGGAGGGCCCTAGAAGCCGCCATGCCTCGAGTAGAGTGAGTCCTTACGGCCATAGGTGAAGGCAAACCGCGCACCTGATAGGCCAGGGGAATAGTATGAACGATCCAGTTGCTGATGGTGTGTTTAGAAGCGGGGAGCCCAGCCTTGGGGGACCCGAAACACACCAACTGGTCTGCTTTCCTCCACCGGGAAGACCTCAGAGTATAAATACTCAGCGCTCTGACAGGGCAGAGCAGATTAAGTCTCCCGTCCTCCGCCGTCACATGAGGTGGGGGATGAAACGCCTGCAGCACCGTGGACCCTGCCAAACTGGACGGAACCTTAGGGACATAGGGACAAGGATGCAGGATAGCCCTGACCCTCCCCGGGGCAAACTCCAGGCATCGAGGAGAAACCGAAAGTGCCTGGAGATCCCCCACCCTCCTTAGAGAGGTGATAGCGAGGAGAAAGGCCATCTTAAGGGTCAGGTGCTTGGCCTCAGCCGACTCCAGGGGTTCGAAGGGGGCCTCCGCCAGCGTTTCGAGAACCTCTGCCAGGTCCCAGGTGGGAACCCTGGAACGAGTCACGGGTCTCATCCTCCGGGCTCCACGGAGGAAGCGCACGACCAGTGGAAGCCTCCCCAAGGGCCCATCACTCAGAGGGGTGTGGAATGCTGCAATGGCAGCCACATACACCTTGAGCGTGGACGGGGAGAGGCCCGCGGAGAAACGGTGCTGGAGGAACTCCAGTATCATAATTACAGAGCAGGTAACTAGGTCCCCCTGCGACCCTATCCTGGATAAGCGGATTAAGATGGATGGATGGATGGATGGTAACTGGGTCCCCCACCCGTTCTCTACACCACGTGGCGAACACATTCCACTTCAGGCCGTACATCCTTCTCGTGGATGGGGCTCTAGAGCTGAGTAGTGTCTCGACCACTCCTGCCGTTAGGCCCGCCTCCAGGAACTGCGCCCCCTCAGGGGCCAGACCCACAGCTGCCACAGCGCGGGGTGCGGGTGAAAGATCCGGCCCTCCGCCTGGGACAGCAGGCCTCTCCTCAAAGGGACCTGCCAGGGCGGGCCCTCCAGGAGCAATATTAAATCTGAGAACCACACTCGTGCCAGCCAAATCGGGGCTCCATGGCATCCAGCCCTAGCGGGGCTGGGGGCGAGAGGGAGAACCACATTCCCCGGGCCTCAGCCCCTGTCTCAACAGCAGGTCTGCTCCCTGATTCTGGGTCCCAGGGACGTACATCGCTCTGAGGGACAGCAGTCTCTGCTGGGACCACAGGAGGATCTGATGTGCCAGCTTGCATAACGGGCGGGAGCGCAGACCCCCCTGGTAATTCAAATAGGCCACCACTGCCATATTGTCGGTTCTGACAAGGAAGTGGCGACCGCGGAGGGCGGACAGAAAACTCCTCAGAGCTCTGAATACCGCCAACATTTGCAATTTATGTGCCAGGAGAAATGATGCTCCTGCCTGGAGAAATGATGCTCCTGCCAGGAGCCTCTTGCAAAGCGGCCGTCCATGACCGCGCCCCATCCGTGAGGGAGGCGTCTGTCAATAATTGTTCGGCTCCCAACACGGGCCCTTGGGACTGGAACCAAGATTTCCTCCATACAGACAGGGAACGAAGGCACCTGCTCGTAACCCGTATCAGACGGAGCGGATTTCCCCTCGGGCAGAATCCCTTGGATTTTAGCCACCACTGCAGGGCTCTCATGTGCAGTGGTCCAGAAGGTATTATACTGGACGCTGCTGTCCAGTCCCGGACCCAGACCGGTGGCTTGAGGGATGACGTCACATTGTCACATTGTCACATTGCTGTAATCCAGCAGAGGGAAAAATAGTCAGCCGTGCAGAGAAGGGTTTATTCCATGATTTACACAACTCATTGTGTAAATCAGGAAAGAATGGTAAGGACCGGCGTGGGGGTGGCGCGCGGGGGCGGCGCGCGGTGCCGCAGAGAACGCCCATTTAGTTTACTGCCGGCCCGCCTTTAGTTTGTTGTCGGCCTGGCTCCCAGAAGTCAGCCTCCATGATGCTAAGCACGTCTAACTTGTAGAATCAGACCGTGCGAGACTCTCTGGACTCATACCTCGAGCGGGAGAAGAGAGGAGTCGGAGCCAACAGACGAGGAACGGGAAAAAGCCTTGGCAGTCCCGATGCCCTTGGAAATGTCGCGCTGGGAGTCCCCATGACCGGAGAGAGCCGCACGGGACCTCAGCACCCTCAGGGGCAGGGCCTCGCAATGGACGCAAGCAGCCCCCTCGAGAGCTGCCTGGGTATACGGCATCCCTAGACAAGCCACACACAGGGCATGAGTGTCCCCAGCCGTGATGTAGCGCGGGCATGGGAAACACACTGCCTGAACTGCTCACCAGCCATCTCCTCTGCCAGACTTCCTTCCAGGTAAGAAATTTCCTCTCATGGTTGTACTTCTTTTGTAGTCTCAAACATGCCAGAGTGCCTGCTGAATAGAAAAAAGCTAATGTGTCCGGTGTGCCGGCGTGCTTATATACGCCTCCATTTACGCCGTCACACGCTACCGTTCTAGCAACACCAATAGGATTGGAGTAGTTTCATTCATGATTTCAGCCCTGCCATGCCCAGAGGCGTTCCCATAGTGTCGTCACCGATGCAGTTTGAGTTCCCTCGAAGGGGAACTTGTCACTTGTCAGTGGATCCCAACCTGTTTGCTAAAAGATCCCTAAAACCGATGTCTACTTGAGACCTTTCATCATCAGCTGCGTTCAGTTAAATTAAAAAGTGATGAACTTTATTTTAAGATTAGCCTGAGTAAAATCATCCAGACATTTGCTAGAAAAAAGGTAAAGATTAGAGGAAAGTGTGACAAAATAAACATAATTTTTGTGTAACAGAAAGACCCTCCTCTTCCTGTTAATTGTCTCGTGACCCCTCTTGTGGGGGTTTAAAACCTACTGGTTCATGTCCCACGCTTACTTTGCATTTTGGTCCACAGGAAAAGACATAAATAAAGTCAGAGCCTGAGACTGAGATTGCAACTCTGATAAAGAAATAGGAAAAATGTGTGTAATTAATGGTCTTGTAACCGCAATGTTACTGGTATGACTGTGAAAACTGTGGTGTGACTGGAACTTTTCCTTTAAGCTTGATCACAGATGATATTATTGACACTTACCCAGTCTTACTTCTACATTGCTATTCTTAAAATGTAGCTATTACAATCACATACACACCTCTACATATAAGTATGTAGACACTTGTCAACTTACTTTTGGCCTTTTTTATTTCATGGTTTGCAGGTCCATTGCCTACATGCTTTCTTTGCTTTTATGCTAACAGGACCCATTGTGAGGAAGAACAACATACAGTAACGTTTCACAGCCCTGAAGGCATTGGCAAATAAAAAAATGACCTCCTGTATTCTGTTATGGAGGATTTTCCAACATTTAACCCCAGAGAAATGTAATGCCTGTTTTACTTTGTGAAGAAAAATTATATATATTGCCAGTGAATAGAGACACAGACAGAGAGACAAATAGAGGCAGGGGAAGGAAATGCATGTCAGATGTCCATGGGAAAGTGGACTATGAGGGACTCTAATAGGATGAAGCACACAGACAGGACCAGTCCCAAAAGCAAGCATGGACAAGACATGCCAGTTAAAACAGTCTGAAATGTCATGCTGGGACTGATGGACTCCTCCAGGAGTTTAGGTGTGTAAAGTCCCGCCCCAGGGGTAAGAAGAAGTGTCCCTGGGGATTAGGAAACATAAAGAGTCCTTTGAGTCTCAAAAAATTCCAAATGAACATCTGCTTGATATTATATGCATTATACAAGCTATGAAAAGTACATATGTGACGCTGACTCCACAAATTACATTGATATTTCTACTTTGTCTTACATTGTGGTGAAAGATGTTCCCAGGCAACGCTTTTGTTCTGAAACATTACATAT